ATGATGAAACCTAGCTATGTAAAATCTGCTGAATGACCTGTACAAAGTGTATCAATTGTACTTAAAAAAATAAAATAAAATTAAGGGCAATGATCATTTTTGTTCTAACAGTGTGAGTTCATGGCTGAAAATAAGACAAAGATACTAAGTGTTAAATTTTGACTTTTCATTTCCAACAATGAAAAGTTTGTTCCATTTGTTGTCTTTTGTTCATCTTTCTGCCTCCTACATTGTAACACTTTACCCAAACCGTGGCCGTGATCCAGCGGTACGACATGAGAACACTCTGACCCTGAATTTAGCAGAAAAAACTGAGCACTCATAAAAAGAACAAAGACAAACATGCACAGAGGAAGGAAACCCAAGGAGTTAATAACACACAGGTGGCACCAACTGCAACGCATCGACCAACAGCCGGTGTTTGACTGCAGAACTTCCCTGTTTTAGAGAAGATAAACTTACAACAAGGGAGAGTTTCGAAAACCGCTCACAGTCTTCAGGTAAGATCCCCGTTTTTAACTCGATGTTCAGAAAACGATAAGACATTGTTACATTCAGTCAGGAATGGAGAGAGAAACGTTTTGATGGGAGAAACTTTGCTCCAAACCACATTAAGAGAGTAAAGTTTGCTTTTTTTTTTCTTTTCCCCAGTTGGAACTGAAAAAGTAAACCCACCTTTCCCTCTGTGATTTTATATATCATGGTATAATAACAATGAAGTTTAGTTCTAGTCTCAGAAACAATATCCCACACTAATACAAGAGGGGTAATTTAAAAAAGCACATTTAAGAAATGTTTTTTTTTTTTACCCAAATATGTTTTTACAGAACAATTCAATGAAAGTATAATGAGTCAGTCCAGAGGAGGATAAAATAAAATAAAAATAAATAAATAAAATATACTGTTGCATCTTGATAAATCCTAATCTTCAAAAAAGGCTTATTTCAGAAGTTAAATTTGACTTACACACCGAAATGTTTATTACATATTAACAATAACATTGCATTGCATTTGTATCCCAAATCCCAATCAAGTATGCTGACAACCAACATAGCAAGATATTAAAACTTCTCCAAGGCATTGTTTCTTGTTTTCTTTATTTTAAAAAGAAAAAAAGGTTTTTATTATATTCACTACAAAAGGTGTGACTCAGTTCAGGGGTTGATTTGTGTTGATGTGTTTGGTTTCATAAAAACCAAAAATATATATTTTGTTTTTCTCCTGAAACTACATGAAATCGGTTTTAAAAAGGACAACAGAAAGAAAAAGAAGGTAACTCAGTTGTGTCTCCTTTTCAATGCAGCTTAAATGTGGATGTTCTCAACCTGTAGCTCTTCTGATGTGTTAATGAAGTCCAGGTTCCTTTATTAACCCATTCAGGGTTAAGATAATAATAATAATAATAATAATAATAATAAATAAATAAATAAAATAAAGGAAGGTTGTCTTACGTTCTTGTCTCACACACATTAAGACGTATTGTTGTTTCTACAGACATGGCCAAAAGTTTTGAGAATGATTCAAATGTTAATATTTACAAAGTCTACTGCTTCAGTTTTTATAATGGCAATTTGCATATACTCCAGAATGTTATAAAGAGTGATCAGCTTAACAGCAATTAATTGCAAAGTCAATATTCGCCTAGAAAATGAACTTTATCCCCCAAAACACATTTCAACTTCATTGCAGCCCTGCCTTAAAAGGACCAGCTAACATCGTTTCAGTGATTGCTCCATTAACACAGGTGTGGATGTTGATGAGGACCGGGCTGGAGATCAATCTGTCATGATTAAGTAAGAATGACACCACTTTAAAAAGAGGCTGGTGCTTGGCATCATTGTTTCTCTTCTGTCAACCATGGTTATCTCTAAAGAAACACGTGCAGTCATCATTGCACTGCACAAAAATGGCCTAACAGGGAAGAGCAGCTAGAAAGATTGCACCTCAGTCAACAATCTATCGCATCATCAAGAACTTCAAGGAGAGAGGTTCCATTGTTGCCAAAAAGGCTCCAGGGCGCCCAAGAAAGACCAGCAAGCGCCAGGACCGTCTCTTAAAAGTGTTTCAGCTGCGGGATCGGGCTACCAGCAGTGCAGAGCTTGCTCAGGAATGGCAGCAGGCAGGTGTGAGTGCATCTGCACGCACTGTGAGGCGGAGACTCTTGGAGCAAGGCCTGGTCTCAAGGAGGGCAGCAAAGAAGCCACTTCTCTCCAGGAAAAACATCAGGGACAGACTGATATTCTGCAAAAGGTACAGGGAGTGGACTGCTGAGGACTGGGGTAAAGTCATTTTCTCTGATGAATCCCCTTTCCGATTGTTTGGGACATCTGGAAAACAGCTTGTTCGGAGAAGACGAGGTGAGCGCTACCACCAGTCTTGTCTCATGCCAACTGTAAAGCATCCTGAAACCATTCATGTGTGGGGTTGCTTCTCAGCCAAGGGAGTCGGCTCTCTCACAGTCTTGCCTAAAAACACAGCCATGAATAAAGAACTTCTCCCAACCGTCCAAGAGCAGTTTGGTGATGAACAATGGCTTTTGCAGCATGATAGAGCACCTTGCCATAAAGCAAAGGTGAAAACTAACTGGCTCAGGGAACAAAACATAGAGATTTTGGGTCCATGGCCTGGAAACTCCCCAGATCTTAATCCCATTGAAAACTTGTGGTCAATCATCAAGAGACGGGTGGACAAACAAAAACCTAGGAATTCTGACAAAATGCAAACATTGATTGTGCAAGAATGGACTGATATCAGTCAGGATTTGGGCCAGAAGTTGACTGAGAGCATGCCAGTGAGAACTGCAGAGGTCCTGGAGAAGAGGGGTCAACACTGCAAATATTGACTTGCTGCATTAACATTAACTCATTCTGTCAATAAAAGCTTTTGTTACTCATAATATGATTGCAATTGTATTTCGGTATGTGATGAAAACATCTGATATACACATGAAAACCAGAGGGCAGCAGATCATGTGAAAATATAATATTTGTGTCATTCTCAAAACTTTTGGCCATGACTGTAGAAGATACGCTGTTTTAATCACAACATGACTAGAAGAACCTTTAGATATCTGCATGAATTATAATCAAATCGCTTGAGCTTTACAGTTAATGCGACAAGATGTGAATATCTCTCCAATGCATTTTTTTTCTTCTTCTTTTTTCCAACTGAAATCTAAAAGTTAAAAAAAAAACATCACCTTTTTATTTTTGTTTCAAGCTATTTTCAGCCTTCCATGTTCCCCATCACTTTTTCCCGGCCTTCGCGAGGCGATAAGGCAAGGCAAAGGTTGGGTTTGTCTGCTCTGTTGCAATCTGTTTGCCAACTCTTCATGAAACATGCTGTGGGATTTGGAAGCCGGGCTGAAGAGGAAGAAACGACATTGTGTCAAAGATGAGGACGCCTTGAGGAGGACTGCTCTTCCCATTCGTCGGTTCACCTCCTCTGAGTTGATGGCTCCTTTGGAACAAGGAAATACATCTGATGTTTCATCAAGACTGGATTAAGGTGCTCAATGTGAGGAGAGGGACCCCGTGCTGCAAGGTGTCTTTTAGATGATTTTAAAAATGACTTATTTGCATTGGAATGATCATGTACTACTGCTTTACTTTAGCATGATACGTGTCTAATATGTGCACTTTCACTGTTAGAGGAATCAGTTCAGTTCCTTTATTGTTCCCTCAAAGGGAAACATATGTTTTCCAGCCAAGCATTTCAAAGCACACAAAACCATGAAAAATACACAGACGGTGTTAAAAACAAAGCATGCAAGCACCAACTCAAAAAGCCTCTGCTGCCCCTTCTTACAGAATCGATCAGTGTTCACATTAAAGGCGAGCTCAATTATTGATCCCGGGTATTTGTAGGTTGCAACAAATCAACCAATCAAGTTTATCTGTGTAGCACATTTCAGCAACAAGGCAGCTCAAAAGAAGTTGTCAAACACAGTCAACAATTGTTAAGTGCCATTGTTACATATAAAACTTTGTCTTTTATGTTTCAAAAGCAACTCTGAACAAGTGGGTTTTTAGTTTAGATTTGAAAGGAACTCAGTGTTTCGACTGTTTTGCAGTTTTCTGGAAGTTGGTTCCAGATTTGTGGTGCATAGAAGCTGTTTGTTGCTGGTTCAGGGGATGCAGAACAGAATGAGAACCAGAAGACCTGAGAGGTTGATAAAATAACAGCAGATCTTTAATGTATTGTGGTGCTAAACCGTTCACTGATTTATAAACTAGCAACAGTATTTTAAAGTCTATTCTCTGAGCCACAGGGAGCCAGTGTAGCGACTGTACAACTGGTGTGACGTGTATCTTATTAGTGAGAATGTGAGTGAGTCATCTCAGTCTTGCTGTGCAGCTTTGTTCAGTGGTGCGTTCAAATGAATTTGAAACTAAGCATTACATAAACAGTTATTTTCAAGCTTGTTCACACTATATTTGGTCTACAAAGTTAGCGACGGTCTCGTTTTTTTCTGTTGTTGTTGTTTAACTCTTCGGCAACTGAATGCAAGCAAGGATCAGAGGTTTGTGAAATGTTTTGTGATCGCAAAGCTTTTCAGACTGACTCACTGAAGTCCATCTTGGTGAAACATGTCTGAGTCAAATTGTGAAACAACATAAGGATGATCTTTTTAAAACATAGCTTAACGCTGTGATTATTGAAACATGCAATGCGTTCTGTTTGTAATGCCAGCGGTTATTCTGGCCACGGGTTGTGAGCTGAGACATTCTCACAGCTGTTCATTTTCAATGTTGAGTGAAAAAATGTGCTTCAGTTTAACTTTAAAGTTTTTTCTTTCTTTTTTTTTCTTAGGGAAAAAAACAAAACAGGCTTCACTGTAAGCAGTTTGAAAGAGAAAGATCCTGTTGCTTCACCACAAGGCTGCAGTCATGGAAGAAGCATGCTCATCATGTGGTTTCAGAGACTCAAGGCAAGTCAACTAGGGACACTGTTGTCAGGAAAAGCCCCAAGAAGAAGAGATTTAAAGATTTTACACTAAGAGACCAGCTGCTGTCCACAACAACAATGGCTGCCGTCACGATTCTAAGTTCATTGGTACGTCTGACTTTGCTTTTTATACTTCGAGATTCTTTAAGTTTTTTTCTTTGCTCACCTGTTATTTAAAATTTGAGGTGTAATTTCTGAAAGTATAATATAAAGGACAAAATCGGACTAATTACCTCGTTTGTCAGACGTTTGTTGTGAATATGTCAAGATATTCACAACAAACGTCGCTCAGGTATTGAACAATGGCTCATATCGCAACAATTACCGGTATGTGAAACAGGGGTGGAAATTAGCACCCGCCATTGGCCAAATGCGGGTAAAAGTACGAAGTGGCGTGTAAATAGGAGCAACGCACCCGTCACTGTGGTTGACAATTTGAACAAAAAAAAAAGCTGCATTCAATTTCTGTCCAGGGTATAAGTGGCTGTATATATATA